CACCCGAGAAAAAATAAATTCTGAAATGATGGAATAATATGTGGTTAAAAAGTAATGAGAATTTTTAGGTTTATGTGTAATATTATTTTATTGATAGAATGTGTGGTTGAAATGAAGAAAGAGAAAAAAATGAGAAAGAGAAAATGGGTGTCAAACGGGGGCTAAGTTTAACGTCCAGGTCTGATTCCATGACTGCTAACCCCCCAATAACATAGAAGCACAACAATGTTGAAGCTGCCAAGCCAAGGTACAAGGGTTAAAGCACAAAGTACAAAACAGACAACACAAAAACAATTTAAAAAATTAAGAAAAATGTTACAAAGTAACTTAACGGAATAAAAAAAAAAAACTACCTTGCCGTTGGTGCATCCTGCTCCCCCAAATTCCGACCGATCATCGTCGTATTGACGGGAATCGTTTTCAGCATCCTCAAGGGGGAGCTGGACCTCGGCCAGCATAAGGTGATTAGGCTCATCATCCGATGTATGGGTCCCCAGTATCATCTTCTGAACCGAGTAATCCTTTCCCGGCGGCTCCTCCAGCTCCGGCAGCCACTCTACCGTGAGCGAAGGCCACTCAAGCGCGTGGGTAATCGCCAGGTCGTAGAGGAATGGAGTGTTCTTCTTCCAAATCTTGTACTCCTCGTTTACCAACCGCTCCTCGATTTCACCCCGCGTCTCTTCCTCGTCTTTCCCCATTCCTTTACTTCTATCGCCTCTGATTTAGATTAAGATTTTTCTATGGAGTGAATTTTACTAGGGTTCTTTGTTTGTGGAGTTTGAACGCGAGTGGGGTTCCGGGAGGAGCTGGAGAATTGGAGGGAATTGGATTTTTCAGAGGTTTTATCTGCGTCAAAAAAAGTACCACGAGACGTGTCAGGTCCAGATAAATTTAGACGATTTTGACCTCCTAGAGCATCCCTATTGGCTACGGCATGCCAAAAAAATAAAGGAAAATGCTATTTATAGACCTCACAGGGCGTCTACGATGAATAAAAAATTCGTGAACCCCCTCTTGCGAGGGGGAGTGTACACCAATCCCGGTGTACAAGTAGTATGGCCCAAAAATAAAATAAAATGGCATTTCACCTCCAAAATATTTACCTGTTGAACCCAATTTTTACAAAATATTTTAAGGGCCTGTTTGGTACGGCTCAAAATCCAATTAAAATTGAAAATATAGCCGTTATTGGGTCCCACTCATCTAATAAAAGTCAACAATAACGGCTAGTTTTTCAATTTTAATCCGATTTTAATCTCTACCAAACACCCTCTTAATCTTGTTAGCTCAAAATCCAATTAAAATTGAAAATATAGTCGTTATTGGGTTTCACTCATCTAATAAAAGTCAACAATAACGACTAATTTTTCAATTTTAATCCGATTTTAATCTCTACCAAACACCCTCTAAGTGATTTTTTGAAGAATTGTTTAGAGGTAGAAAAAAGAATGTGTACTCGAAAATATGTTTCGAAAAAATTTTCTAATTCCTAACCGAAAAGATGTCTGGAATTGTTTGATTCTTCCATGTCGACTCTCTAATCCTCTAGTCGAGTTGATAAACGTCCAAATAATTTGATCGTTCATCGATTTAAGTGGTACATGAGTTGTGTGACACGAAGTGCATGAATCGAGACACGATTGTGTAATAAAGTTGATGAGGAGATCTTGTCCTCTTTGTTTCCAGTTTGGTATGTGTCTGAATTTGTATTACAAGACAACCAATTCGTACTAACGAAAATGAAGACCAAATTGTGCTATGAAAGTTAAAAATAGACCCAACACCAATCTATAGAGCCCCGTTCCCTTTTGTGGGAGCAGCACCAAGTAACATGAAGTAGCTCCAGACGAGATGAATAAGCCCTTTTTTGGGTCTTATGTTTTTTGGGAGAATCCGTGATTGAAAATGAATTCTGGAAAAATGGCGCTCAAACGAAGGCTAAATTATCTGAAGCTAAAACGTGTTACTTGCACGTACAATAATGTATGTGTTGTGCACGGTTCTTTCTATAAGGACCAATTTTTAGGACCAAGATCTCGAGTCGAAGAGTAATTTCTTTTATAAATTGTCCGGCATAGTCACATCGTGTTTAACTGTTTTAAAAGTCAAAATAAAATGAAAAATCGGACCATAACCTTCTTGGACCTTGGTTCTAAATATTGGTCGAACTCACATTGTTGAATGTGCAACATTCTTGACGTGACACAACTTTAGTAGGTTCTCTCAGTCTATCCTTATCAAGATATCATCCCTAACAAGTCAATTCAAGAGATCCCAAGTTGTCGATTTTTTCACTTGCTATTGACTATTTTTGAATGACATTATTTATATTTATGGACATTGATTTTGGGTGATTTAAAAAAAATTCAAAACCAGTGTATTGTAATTTTGATTGTATGTTTCCATCACGTACTCTCTCTCTCTTCTTATTGTTCTTGATTATCTCTAGTTCTTTAATAGCTTCTTGCAATTATTTGATTGATTTTAGTAGCGGTATAATTTTTCTTTTGAATGCATTTTAAAAATTCAATTTACGGGGCATCAAATTGAACAAATTAAATGGTTGTTCGAGTTCCATTTTTTTGAAAATTCATTTTTTTTAAACTCATTTTCAATCACACATTTTTCAATAAAATAATATTACACGTAAATTGAAAAAAAAAATCTATTTTTGACAACACATAGTCCAAATGGAACTCAAACAAGGGCTATATAAGGCATCTTACTATCCCAGCCTCATTGCTTTCTAGATTAATTTATATGATTGTGCATGAGAACGATGCCTCTAAAGGTGAAAAAAGCCAAAGAAACGCCGGACCAAATCAATGAGTAATATTCTCATCGAAACCTATTTGCACGAGTATGTGAAACACAATAGGGGTGGGAGGGACTTAGTCGTGGCAATGGGCCGAGCCGAGCCGGCTCGGCCCATGATCGCACGAGCTGAGCTCGTGGCTCGTGTGCCCTCGGCTCGTGGCAAATTGGGCGAGCT